CGTGCGCGTCTCCTCTCTGTTCCATGCAGGAGGGGCGGGAAAAGAGAGAGAGAGAGAGAGAGAGAGAGAGAGAGAGAGGCCGGGAAGGAGGACGTCAGACTCGCATCCCCTGACAGACTGCCATTGATTCGGTCTGGGGTTTTAAGACCCAGTGGTTTGGCCTTCCTCGGATGGAACTGCCCATCCCCTTTCGCCAGCAATCATTTGCTAAATATGTGCACTAAGATAAGAGGCCGAAGAATAAGAATAAGTATTTATCAACGAAAAACCATGTTTAATCCTTCAGATTTGTCTCCCCCTTTCCGTTTTTCTATACCGGGGCATAAAAACAGCCTATCTCTCTTGGAGAGATTAATCTTGGAAAGGAGCTTTGAGAGGGAAAGTGGGATGATTGCCGGCTCTTCTCTGGGAATTGGGTTTATGGTCCAGGGAAAAGCATGCGGAAAAGCAGAGCTGCTGAGAGACCGCTGCAACACAATAACCCTTTAGCCTGTGCATATCTGCTTGTGTTTAACCCTCACGCAACGGCTGATTGATCCGTTTACGTGATCACGGTTTTAGGTCATTCTTCTGTCGCCTTTCCACTATTATGGCGTCTTTTGTGCCATACACTCTTAAAATAAAGTGTTTTTTAATGGCGTTTATGGTTCTATGAAGAACCTTTAACATCCATGGAAACTTTTATAGGAAAGGATGCATTTCCACAATTATTAATGTTGTAAATGTTGCAGTTTTCAATCAAAAAAAGTTACATTTTTAACACTATGCTTTGTGGTAATGTATGTTACTGTATATTACCTTAACTATATAACTAGTTAACACTGCTGAGAGGGTGTTTCTACTACAATTGCTGAGGGAGTGATGGCAAATTTTACATCTCTTCTGACCAACATAATCAATCTCTATTTTTATCCCTCTTTTTGAAAGTCATTGTTTCTTTTGCTGTTTGAGTCTATGGGAACACAAAAAGTTTATTTCCGCTTCTGAGAACCCCAGAAATGTCAAACGGGTCCATTAAAATGTCATTCACACTAAGAAAAAAATAAATGTTTCTTTTTAAGAACAATTTTTTTCCTTTTATTTATAAAGCACATTTAAAAACAACCATGGGTTGACCAAAGTGCTGTACATAGACATTTTACAAAAGGGATCAAATACAACTGCATAACATATTTTAGACTAACAACATCTGTTCAAGAATATAGGATCTAAGCATAGATTTAAAAACAAAAAGAGATGGTGCTGTTCGGATGGCTACAGGGAGCTTGTTCCAGAGTGTTGGACCAGCAATAGAAAAAGCTCGATCACCACGGTGTTTCAATCTGGACCTAGGGATGGACAGCATTCCTAAATGTCCCGATCTGAGTGGTCGCGAAGAGTTGTGTGAATGCACAAACTCAGCAAGATAGACTGGTGCAAGATTATGTAAGGATTTAAAAACCAGGGTTAATATTTTGGATTCTACTCTAAATTTCACCGGCAAACAGTTCACTAAAAGGTTCTTTGGGGAACCCAAAATAGTTGTTCTATGGCATCTCTGTGAAAACCCTTTATTTTTAAGAGTTTAATGCATTGCTGGAATTTGACACAATTGTTTTTGGCTCCTACTTCTTCACTTCAATACGGAGGGTTTTGATATGTGATTATAAATGTACGCTCTGTTCTCAGGAGTCCATAGAACGAAGGCATCGTGCTCATTTAAAAGATTCATAAACATGGATCGAAGACTCCACAATAAACAAATCAGGGTTTTTGCATTAGAAACGGAGACGGAGGATGAATGTTGTGTTTTTCTGCTGGTACGGAAACGTGTGGGCGGATGAATGGGATCGCAAGTGCACATGTGCCCGATATTTAATGGGAGGGTGTGGAGAAGAAAGAAAACGGGAAGAAAGGAAGGTGTTCGCTCATGGCTCTGTCAAAGTGGGGCTGCTAGCCTTGAGATGGACGGACAGGCCTGGTGGGTAAATGGAACAAGAGATGGATAGAGGGAGAGAGCGAAGGAGACGGGTGGAGGTGTGGGCACGTAGCTTATTATTTCTCTCCTCATGTGTTCTCTTCTGTTCCCCTGCAGAACCACACACTGAGCCAGCACGCACAGTGAGACCGGGCCCCGCAGGACTCCCGGTTCAGCCTAGAACCCCGACCCAGGCCCGGTGGGGGAGGAACATTTCAACATCACAGCCAATCAAAGTGTCATTTGCTACTCACATGTAAAACTCTAACGATTCCGCCACCAGGCGCAGCTATTACGAACGGTGGGGAATGAATATTAATGGGATATGCTATTAAAAAAGAAAAGGAGAGAAAAAAAAGGAGATGGAGAGAAAAAGGTATTCTACGTGCAGTATTTTTTATCGTCCCTTCTTCCTGGTTGTGTGTTCTTTATTTTCTCCCCGTTTTCTTTTTGGTTTTTCTTGATTTTGGGGGACAAAAGATGAAAAAAAATGGAAGGGAAAGACTGAGGGAATCTGCCTGATTTTAATCTCTAGAAATACATATCTTGTCCTCTGTTGCTTCATGTATCAAACTTCATACGTGCCAATTTTGTTCTTTTCAAGGCATATATTCTCAGCCCTCTTTATTTGTTGATTTATTTGTACCATTTATTTCTTGCAGTAAATAGGTACTTGTGCTGTGCTGTGATTGCTTGCCAGTCGTAATATTTTTCCTTTCTATTATTATTGTTATATATTTTCTTTTTTCTAATTACAGTAAAAAAGACAAAAAACATATAAAGAAAAAAAGAAAAAACATAATGGTTTTGATTGGATTTTCCAGTACATGGGCCTTATGGATGTTGTAAAAATGAATATCTTTGATTTCAGTGCAACTGGATGATGTCTGCTTTTTAAATGTGAATTAACCAGATTGCAATAAACTAGTACAGTTGAAAATAAACAAATAAATAAATCATGAATAAAGGGAATCTGTGCATCTGAAGTGAGTGTTCTTTCGAAGTGCAGATAGAGCGTTTGGAAGCAGCTGAACTCCTTAGAGTGGCTCTGTTCCCCTGACATTGTATGAGCTCTGTTCTTCTTGTCATGCTTTCTATTTAACAATAAATATCAGTGAGCTACAGTAATGCTGCTCATAAAACATACAGATAATGTGAATGACAATGATGAAAACTCGTGGACAGGTGTGAACGGCTGAACGCAGTTTGTGTTTACATGAAATAATCATGCTGTTCAATATACCGGTAAATATTTCTAGATGTTAATGTCAGTTCATGTAATAAATATCATACAAATTCAAATCCACTATGATTCACCTGCAGAAGATAAGATCATTGAGTCCATATTGTATCACTAATCACCGTTTTACTCAAACCCGGATTCGTGCTGCTTTCATAGTGTTCAATTCAATGTCTGCAGTATCAGAATCAAAGACTAGAGTCTTTGCCAATTGTATATGTTTTACAACATTAACTTAATAAACACAAATGATCAGCAGTAGCAGCCACACCGTTACCCAGAGCAGACAGAATATTGTGGGATTATTATTGCACGGAACGTGACGTTTTGTGACCTGCTGATAACAATAATGCTCTCAGTCACATATATGAGTTCAATTGTAAAATATGATGATCTGAAAGTCTGTCATTTCTACACTGCATCAGATTTATTAATCCAATTTTAAAGGAAATGATTTCTCATCTTGTATAATAAAAAAAAATGGAAAATCAGTTTCATAATCCAGAATTATATGATGATTGCAAATGTGTTATGTTTTCGGTAAATAAGGAAAAACCCAGCGGTGATCAGCAGATGACTTGATGCTTGTGAATAAGGTCAGAAACATCTATATAAAGTAGTGTTTCTTCTTTTACCAGAGCAGTTTCTGCTTTAATTGCATCCATGTGTTTAAGCAGCTGGTTCGGCCGCTGAGTCTCATAACTTGAGCCGGACAGAAGGTCGGTACTGTTCCCAGAAATCAGCCATCGGAACGCATTGATACACTACAGGCCCCTGGGGGTCTCTGAAACGGTCCGCTTGGGAAACCGGGTTCAGCACACCATCTGAGTAACTCCTAAATACTTGGAAACTAGCATCTGATTTAACCCACAAATATCCAGGAGTATTGAAAGATGCCCTTAACTGGGATTGTGTTTGACTTAAGTATTTCAATGTAATGCAGTGAAAAGTTTATTAAATCTGTGCTGTATTAAGAGTGTGTGGATTTTAAATGGTAAATGGAGATGTCCGAATGGGGCAAAAGGAAACTGTACCTTTGTATTTTGTGGTAGAATTATTTAAAATATTTGAGGATGTGATTTAGCCAATCTTGTCCGTCTTTACAGCCTCGGAGGGTTTTACAGACCCGCACAGTCTCTCAGCACCCCAAGGACTCTCAATATGAAAAGAAAGATTTTCTCTAAAACACATTACTTTACTTTCATTAGGAAAATTCAACAACATTACCACATTATATGATGCTTAAACGATCATTAGCTAGCAAGTCTTCTCAATAACATGTAAGCAATGTATGTGCTATGTATACAATAAATATTTTTGTGACAATACATTATATATTAAAATATGTTTTTTTGTTTGTTTTGTTTTGTTATCAGTAATATTATAATTTGTATTATTACTTTACGAGTGTTTCACTACAACATAATCAAACACTTTAACATAAACATGAGATAACATGATTACCTTATCTTTCTTATCAACAGGTAGAACAGTAGTCGTGTGTACTTAAACAATTTAGCTTCAAGAGACGCTTGTTTCCCTTATCAGCGTCCCAAAGTCTTGTGATAGACTCGCATGAGCTGTTAGGGACCATCAATAAAATACCAAACGTTGTTGTATTTTCATAACATTTAAGGGACAGTGTCTGTATAAGCATACAACTATTTTAACAAACATCTGAGACATTATGTAGTTTTGTTGATCAAACCAATCCTCCGACATTAGCAGCCAGTGATTGTACTTTTTTCTTCTTCTTTTTTTTGCGTCACACCACAAACACACATTTTACCACTGTCCCTAAGAACACCACACCAGTGAGTGAGCACAAGAAAAGTTTTTCAAATATCCACTTTATTCGAGCTATCGGACAGTTTAAAGACCTGGCTCAGATGCCCTGTGGGGAGCAATGTTTATCAATCATTTAGCTCATGAGATGAAACAAGGTAAATAATACTTATTATAATGTGTATGTTTATAGCGAAGTATCAGACAGGCAGTTCGTTCTTATTTTAGTTCCGGGTGTGTTTCGCTAAAATAGGAACCTCAGTTTACCAGGGAAGGCGTGTCACTGTCATTCACTGCTAAAGCCAAACTCATGTGTATTAGTTATTAAATGCCCGATACAACGTCATTATTAATACAAGTTTTGCGAAAACTGGCCACCAGAAGAGAGCATGGCTGCGGCGCTGCTGTCGGAGACGGAGATCAGCCAGCGGTCTATGGCAGAGGAGGATCCGAACGGGAATGAACATGGGGCGGCTGCACACAGCACCTTGCCTCGCTGGGGACCGCAGCATGCCGGGGCCCGACAGCTCGCTGAGCTTTACTCTCCGGGTAAGACAAGCACATCGGGTGTCATTAAACCGATCTGTTTCTATATGAATTATTCTCCTACTGTTTCACTCTGCAGCATCATAGGGCAAAACTAAGGCCAGAGAGCGCGCGTACACACACAAAGTTGCGTGTAGTCTTGTGTTACAGAGGTCAGCTTTGGATCAATAACATGTGACTGCAGTGCATGAATGGCACCAACATAATAAAATGAATATTGGTGCTTGTATAACACCACCTGCATAAGTATAAGACTTGGGTATTGGTTACATGTGTCATGTATGTGCTACTTTGTAAAACTTGTAACACCGTGCATTTAAATCTAGAGAAGTAAATTAGTCGGTCATCTTTTTTCATCAAATAAAATTGAATGGCGATGGAGGTGTCGTTCTTCCTTGAGTAAATTATCACATTAGTTTTGGGTGAGCTGTTTCTTTTGATTCACTGTACAAAAGTTACACAATTATATAGACATAGAGACCTTTGTTACATATTTTGTGCATATGAATCATAGCCTTTTGAGTTGCTTCTTTGATAAATGTGCATGCATATGCCCATGTTATAGGGTTTCCATGGTAATAGTGGATAACCTGGAAATATTATTATTCTTTTTTTTTGTATCCCATGCATTTTTAAGATCAGGGAAATAGTTAGTGTCTGGAAAAGCCACGGTCATGTATAGACACTCAATTATAATAGGTCTTATTTTTGAAGACTTTTAACACAAATGTAAAAAAGTGCATTTATTTATAGATTTAAGGATCGGTACTTGATATACGGATAGAAATGTTCTCTAGAAATACTATAAATGATTTTGGTAAAACTTTGCAATGAGGCCTCATTGGTTAACATTAGTTAATGCATTAATGAGCAAAAAAACAATGCATTTATTACAGTATGTATTCATCTTTGTTAACGTTAATAAAATAACTATTCATTATTAGTTCATGTTAGCTCAGATCCATTTAATAATATTTACAGATACAACTTTTGATTTGAATAATGTATTAGTAAATGTTGAAATTAACATTAGCTGAAATTAAAGGGCCCCTATTATGGAATTTTGAAAATGACCTTTCATGTAGTGTGTAACATAGCTCTAAGTGAATGAAATTCATCGTTACCATGATATCACAGCAGTATAATCCTAAACTTTTGCTGTGTTCCCATTATTTTACTGACGACTGCTTCTCAAATCTCGGAGTTCAATGCAGGATTCGGAAATTTGAAACTTGCTCTTGAAAGATGGTGTTCAAAAAACTTAGTTTTGAGTTTTATATTGTGTAGGTCTCCTGCTAACTGGCTAACTCATGTTATCACTGTCTTACTGAAATACTTCTGCTAATCAGTTGTGGGCCACTATTACCTAAAGCTTAACTGTCTAATAATGCAGATTGTCTGTCATTCTCACTAACGTTACTTTGAGGAAATATTTGTTTTACCAACGTTTATGTTACATCAGTCATTCACGCTAGACCTCGGCTAATGTATACATTGCATACATGCACAGTTAATGATACAGTTTCCACGTGTTCACTGCAATATATTAGAAAAATACTCGGTAAATAAATTAGCACAAGTAAAATAATCGGTTTGTTGATGGACATGCACTTGTTAATGCTGATAGTGAGGAATTAGTTGCAACATCTCATAATGTACCTCAAACTAAGTAGCGTATCACTGAGAAACGGCCTACTCAGGTTGTCCTTGCGATGGAGGTTCGGGTTGAATGAATAGCTTTTACCAGTGTTTCATCATCGGACTCTCGCTCGCATTGATATGATAAAACTGACGTTATTGTTCGTTACTGTCTTTAGTTTACGGTGTTGTAAACCTCAGGACAAGCAGAGCTGACGTTGTAATGGCAATGGGCGTTTTTGTTTTCGACCCGCGCGCTGTACGTGGTAAGCCAATCACAACAGACTGAGCGGTCTGGCCAATCAGAGCAGAGTTGCTCGCGGAAAGGAGGGATTTAGAGAGATTGATTCATCTGACGAGTCGTTTGAGAATCATTGGAAATGTGGTGATGTGCAAATGTATATTATGAGGAAATTAAACAGTTTTTTTACCTTTGATGCATGTAAACGTGTTGTAGGAGACTCCAAAACAACATTAGGAAACTTTACAATAGCATAATAAGGGCACTTTAATAAATGCTGTAGTATTTTTAATTTTTAGTTGTAGGTTAAATAATTTAGTTAAGTTAACTGACAAATGGAAGTTAACTGACAAATGGAAGCTTACTGTAAAGTGTCACAGTGATTTTAAAAATAAAGCTTGTATTAATCCAGAATTACTGGAAAAGTTCAAAGATATCCATTGTGATAGAGCTGCACAATTCTGGATAAATTGAGAATAAGGATTTTTTTTTTTTTTTTTTTAAACAGAGATCACTATTCTAACTAGACAACTAAACAAAATAACATGTCATTTAATAGAGGTTCTGATAAAATGTAGATTGCTGCAGTCTATTTAAAAATGTTTATTAAATCAATAAAAAAAAAACGGTTTGAATTAATGATTCAATGACTTACTCACTAACACTTCATTTGCTTCATTACTGGATGAATCAGCTTTTTTGGACGAATCTCTTGAATGAATAATTCAATGACATACATTTTTAAGTAACTTGTAACCATGTAAAAGATACAATCGTTATTTGAAGCGCCATGTTGCTTTCAAAAGGGGATTTTTTTTTTTCCTATAAACTTTTATCCTAGTACTTCTGTGATAATATAAATATTTGTAACACAGAAATAACAATACTGTGTGTTTCATACATGGACAACTGCTCTCTCTGGGTCAGCAGCGGCGCCAACGCAGATCTGAATGTTTGCTGTGATCGTACTTGTCAAATGTTTGGATAGACACAGGCGAATCGTTGTCATTTAAGAGTGAGATCGCGTGGGTGTTTGAATCGAGATCGCAATCGCAACCTTTTAAGGATTAATCGTGCTGCTCTACGTTGTGATGTTCCACAAGCTGTGATGCTTTCCCTGATTTTTTTTTTTATTTGACCTGAGTCTGCTGCGGGTAGTCCGACACGGAACACCAAATAAACAAATTAATGCACGTTTCAGATTTGACTTCATTCCACTTTTGGCTTAATGGAAAACGGCTCCATCTCTGCACATCATGAGCCGGAGATCAGCAGTGTTAGGAAAAAGCCTTTAACCCCCAACCCCACCACCCCCCCCACTCACCCACCCTTCAACTAAAACAAGATTTAGCAGGGATCGTCCCCCTCCACTGTCCTCTAGCTCATTGTGTCATGGGATGCTTGTAGTTTGCAGCTGCAATTAAAACTACATCGATTTAACTCAAAATGCTATTAAGAATGATAATGACCACTTCATTTTCTTTGGCAATGCACCCGGCGCGTTAAGCATATGCTACCACCGGGCACGTCCAGCATGTAAATTACTTGGCCATGTTGAGAATGTTTGAGAGAAGTTTCGCGAGGTTAATAAGATAATGTTGTGATGCATCTCTCTGTGAATGGGGGGGTTGGGTGGGATTGTGGATGGGATTTTTGGATGAGCTCAGTCGAGTTTAGTATCCACCAGCTGTGAGGTGCATGTCGGAGAGGCTTAACTGTGGGATTCTCAAGGAAAGTATGCTGGGATTGTTGTTTTGCTTGTGCTGAGGTTTGCATGCTGTTTGCAGTTGTAATTACCACACTTTCAAAGTTTATCGTCCATGACATACAATATTTCATAGTATTGCAATATTCCGTACTGCGTTGTTTTAAAATGTTTTTAAAAGAAGTCTCTTATGTTCATCAAGACTGCATTTGTTTGATCAAAAATACAGTAAAACAGTAATATTGTGAAATACGATTACAATCTAAAACACCTGTTTTCTATTTTAATAAATTAAGTGCAATTTATCCCTGTGATGTTAAAGCTGAATTTTCAGCAGCCATTATTCCACTCTTCAGTGTCACCTGATCCTTCAGAAATCATTCTAGTTCTAATATGCTGATTTTGTGCCGCTCAAGAAACATTATCATTTCCTTGTTTTCTTGCAAAGTTGCGATTTTTAACTTGGAATACCATATAAAACATTTGCAAAGAAAGCACTGTTTCCATCCAGTAAGTCGAAGAGAAGACAGTTATAATTAGAAGACTGTAAGACAGTTCTTCTACTGAAGCACTTTGACGATAGACGCTGGCTCAAGCATTTCAGAATGACCAAAACAGCATTTCAGATGTGCAACGAGATCGGTCCACCGCATTATGCAGTCACATTACTTTTTTTGTTACCCATCGAAGAATTATTCGGTAAATGTGTTTCCATCATATTTTATGCACATTTTCTTATCAGATACAAAAAATTATCCGACTCAATTGAGTGCATTGTGCATTTTTAGAATTTCTTGGTGTTTCGGCACTGAATCCAGCTTTTTTTTTTTTTTTATGCAATATTCCAAAATTCACATTAAAATAAGTGGATGGCTAATGTTGAAAACAGTTGTGCTGCTTAATATTTTTGTTGAAACATAGACACATTTAGTTTTTCTTTCAGGATACTTTGAAAAGAACAGCATTTAATTTTTTTTTGTAATAGTATACAGTAAATGTCTTTTTTGATTCATTTAATGCTACCTTGCTGAATAAAAGCATTAATTTAATTAATAATAATAAAAAGTCCACCATTTGGATCTAGTCTTTAAGATGATGAAAAGCACCCTGCTCAAATTCCTATCTGAATTGAATTTGAATTGTTATATCAAACAGGATGTACAACTTCATTTTGAATATGAATGTAAGAAAATTCAAATTAATTTAAATTCACGTAAATACTTGTAACTGTAATTTGTAGAGCTGGAAAAACAAGTTTGTAGAATTATTTTTTTTTGGATTGTTTTAAAAAACAAGTAAAACAAATCTTGAAGTTTGGATCTTAGTCCAGAGAGATGGGTAGATTGATTCTAATTCAATGTGGACTGTGGCCAATATAATTCAAACTTAAATTCAGTGCATTTGGACCAAGACTTGGAA